GCTTTATAGCTACGACAGACACGTGAGAAGAGACACACATGTACCTTCGAGGTCCTCACCTACCCTTCTGAAGGAATTGGAGGTGTGCTCCAAAGGATCCATAATCCTTACGTACCAAGTTATGCTGCTTGTTAACCAGGGTCAAATGATGAGGTTTAGGGTTGTGGTTCCCCTCCATTGTGGCTCCATTCCATTTCTGGTTTTATCTCAATTCTCTCCACCCATTACTTCACAAGGGGGAAGACAGGGACAACACACTTAAATGTTTCCATTATATACAAGATACAGCAACATACAAGCCATATGGCAGTACAGGGGGAACTACATGTGAGTAATAAGGGGTAAGCACCTGACCAATTAATTGGAATGTTGAGCTCAAAGCTCAACAAAATAAAGCCTATGTGCAGATAGAAAGAAAATCCCCTTGTTCGACATCTCGGTGTATTCTAAAATATTGTATTTGGCAAGTGTAGCATGCAATGCAGATGCCAGAGACTCAGCACACAGAGTAGCCTTCAAAAGCAACAGCTGAAAACACACATGGAAGAGACTCATGAATTGCAGAAAAGGTTTATAGATCGATCTCTTTTACCGAGATCTGAGCGTACAGCTCATATAGAGCTACCAGCACACAAAGCCACCTAAAACAGAGCCAAGTTGCCCAGTACAAACACAAACTAGGGACTTCTATACTCTTTTTCATTTCCTTTTTGGTGCTTTCATCGTTTGCTGGATGCAGGAAGGTTCTGAGCTCTCTGTGTTCACAAATGAGACACGATGTACCACATTTCTCACTGGCAGATGTTTATTATGCACATCTAGGATGAAAGCGTCAGCAGCAGGATAACGTTGGATGACAACTTTTTTACATCTTGGATCAGAAGCAACGAGGCAGACCACTTACATACCAACAGCTTATTTAATCTTAAGGGAACTTCCCCACCTACCTACCCTGCCCTTCCGAGCCCACTTCGACTCCTTGCCAGCAAATTTTGGCAGGCAATACCATCACCTCTGGTACAGATCAAGGTTACTATAAGCAAGAAGAGAGTTACTGCATGACTAGAGCATCCTGCTTCACTTGGCAGAGCAGGGACACAGGACAAGTACTTCTACAGAGGTATACCTGACCTGACACACTATTAAAATAAGCAAAAGGTAGTAATTTCATGGTTTATGATGCTTCTCCCCTCCCCCCAGCTATTCCTCAGATTTCTTAATTCCTCAACAAAAAAATAATACAAACTTCTTGTATAAAGCAAATCGTGGTCTCTGTTTATGGACAAAAGACACAGCACATGTCACTAGTGTCCAGCTTGCATCTCATCAGCAGCTAGTTGATCATCTTCAGAAGATGATTACAACATGGTAAGGTACTACATTTTGTACTCCTAATTCAGTCCATGCCCTTAAACATGGAAGTTTTATGTTCATAACCCTTTTATTCTAACTCAGGCAACTAAAATCATACTTTTTTTTTTAAATAACCCTTAAAATTAAAAAATTATTTCTGTTAAAAAATAGTGTAAACAATTTAAGATTTGGTTCTGAAGCAGACTTGTAGTGCTAGAGCTCATGCTCCTTTCGAGCAAGTAAACTGAGCTGCCATACCAAGTCGCAGTCAACAAGGGAGCTGAAGCTCCCAATTTGGTTTTTACACACTAGAGTGTGTATTCCTTTATTTTTAAAAGGGTTAAAAGCTTTTTTCCTACCCTACATCCTCAGCATAAAGTGTAAACAATATATAGGATTATTTATTCAAGCAAGACGTGAATCCAGCAAGTTGAAAATAGAAGAGAATCCAGTTCGTACTCCCTCCTGTGGACAGAATGCTACTAGCTCACTCTTACCAGCAGGGTTTCTGACAGAATATGCCTGGCTACAAGAGTGTGTTCCATGCAAATGCCAACTTTGGCAGATATAAAAAAAATAAAAACAGATAGAGAAACTGTGGCAGCAGCTGAGGTTACAAACCTTGAGGTGTTTTGGTGTTTTTTTGGTTTTAATTGAGCTGTGATCTACTGAGAAAACACGACAGGAACTCCAAATCCAAGAACAGTTTAACCAAACACTGATCATTTCTGAGAAGTAAGACAGCCAGCAGTTGACAGAGTGCTCACTTGGTTACCTGTCTCACAACAGTACACAGACAACTTCTGCCATGACATTCTATGGGAAAATACACTGTGCCCTATAGGTTTTGATTAGCTCTCATGACTTTCATTGCAGAGCTGAAGTGCTTCACATTCCTCTAAAGAGACAATCTAAAGACACTCCAGCATGGAGGGTCTTTACACCTATTTCAGTAACATGGTTTGCAAGGGGAACCACGACACCAATAACATTACTCTGCTCCTTCCACAGCTGTAGTAGCAACTGCCTTAACATAGTAAGGGCCCTCATGCAAGTAAGCTCTAAGCCTCAAGTAATACTGATTCCCAAAGATTTCTGCAATTGTTTTAGAGTTTACAAGGGCCTTGACCAGTTCATATTTGGCATCCTTTGAGGCTTTGTCAGGCTCCACAGATCTGTCTACAACGTACTCCACAAAGCCTGGACTGTCAAGCATCAACTTCTGGGCCCATGGTTGATTGGCAATAGCCTAAATGTGAAAAGAGAAGAGGGGAGAAGAGGGAAACATTTTAGAACCCCAAAAATCAGTTACACAGTACACTGTTACACAATAGCCAAGGGACAGGAAAAGTTAAATGGGATATTCATTCTACACAGTAGTTACACAATCACCACTCAAATCAAGCAGCAGGGTTTAACTGTACTGGAAAATAAGCACAGCTCAGTGCTTATCTTTCAAGTTAAGTAAATTATCACAGCAGTGCCTCTGATATCAAAGCAGCACCCTAGAGCATGGCTGATGCTTCCCCCCACTTCAATTCATAAGGAAATAAGCATTACAGACACAACATGTCTGCTGCATTATTTAAATGGTGAATTCAAGTGGGGCATAATGGAAAAGGACTTATTTCTGACCCCTTCTGGGCTTTAGGAAGGGGTCTATGGCATTCACTTAGAAAAACCCAAACATCCAAGACTGACTGGAACACAACTCAGTACCTGATCTTTAAAAACAAAAAGCACTTACAGTAAATACCCGTAAAGCCCCACAGTGGAGATCAGGGAATGGCTGAGTACTGATGCTCCTGAAGAGTTCCAAAGGCTGGCTAGACAAGGATGTGAACCAGGATTCAGTCATTCTTAAAAGGTCTTCTGTCTGCTGCTCCGGCTGCATGCATCACACACAGAAAGAGTTTGATTAGGATTCTGAAAAGCTTTCATTTCAAGTCTTGAGCATATATTCAATAGTTAAGGAAGTTACTTAAAATAAGCCACAGGCAGATTAAACTGAAATAGTTTAAATTTTCAACAGATTTCCATGAATGAAGAAATGACCTCCTCTATTTCGTTTAGCTTGGAGGACACATTTAAATAAATTGATCTTGGTACACAAAAGAAGTGCTGTGCTGGAGTGCAGCCCTGCCAGACAAATGGAAATGGCTTATTCACTCATTCAGAGCTATACTATTAAAACCCTATCATATTAAACTGTTTCCTCTCATTCCCTTGCCAAGGATGTTTTGACTTCATGTTTTATAAACAGATTTCAGAACACCTGGCTTCTTACAGACAAACTCAAAACTCTAAGCAAACAAATAAACCAAGGAATTTCAAACCAGTGAAGTTAATGACTCAGAACATTAGAAAGCTCCCACTTCCGCCCAAGCTTGATGCTGCAAAAGGTCTTCACACAGTCAGACGCACAATAATTTCATTCTTGGAGATTTAAAGAGAAAAAGACAACAAACTAAACCACAAACTTACAGGCAAGTAAAGAAGAGATGAAATCGCATCCAAGCATCGAAGTCGTAACTCCGTGGGGGCATTCTTTGCCTGGTGCCCTATTTTGCTTAACAGGCTCTGAAATCTACTTCCTTGGAAAATAAAAACAAAGTGATTTTAATTAATTCAGGCAGAGCTCTACAGGAGTAGAGAGTTACCTGTCAGTCCCATTATACTACATTAACTGGTAGAGTGTTGTACATTAAACCTCAGAAAGGTTACTATAATAAAAGCAGTGCAAGGTTCTTTGCTTCATAAGGATCCAAGATAGACCCAAAGCTTTTATGTTAATTCTCCAGACTACCCAAACATTTCCAGAAAGGAAGTTGTGTGTCACAGAAAACAGAGCTATCATTGGAAGTACGGACCCTCATACACTTGTAACCAGAAACCTTCAATCCCATTTACAATGCTCCAATAGCTACCTGCTAATACAGATTTTCACTTAAAAATCACCATTTGGACTAGCAACGAGTAGTCCAGTACCTACTTTAAATCCTTTAAACAGTTGTGTATTAAAAGAAACAATGCAGCCTTTACAGAAAGCATCATTACATGAGTTTTCCTAATGCTGGCAAGAAGCTGATGACATCAGGAGAAAGAAGACTCTAAAATAACACAACTACTGACAGTTTTCAGATACTAACTGGTTTTCTGTAAAACCTGTTTGCCTTCCACATTTGATCCCAGGATTCCTAGTGTGTCCACAGCCACTCCAATCATGGTCGGATCGTGACTTTCTGCCATCTCAAAGACTTTCTCTATAAAGACCGGGTATCGTTCACAGATCTGCTGTGGACTGTCCACAACAGCCAGATTCCCAAAAAATTTAACAAATCCTGCAAGAACAAGAGGAAAAAAAAAAGAAGCATTCAATGAAGGAATAATAACTTCAGCAATGTCAAAATTAAATGCACGCTGAGATCACTCCACTGCTAAACTAGTGCTATTAAAACTGAATACTGACATGAAAGGCACCAGAATAAGGTCAGACCTAAAGAACTAGAGAGTATTTTGGAAGTTAACAAATTCAAGAAGACAGCTGCTAAGTCATGACTAAAAAAGGCTACAACACCACAAACTTCAAAGCTAGATCAGGCTTTCCACATCTTGCCTGTACTACCACTGTTTAGGAGTAATATCAGTGATGTTTTAGACTGTCCTTCAGCATTTTTGATACACATCCAACACACAGTCTCATATTCAAAACCTCACAACAGCTTTCAAACAGAGGCTTAACAGTCCTCTCAGGTTAACTCCTGAGTAAAAGCAAGCAGTCAGCACTGTAAACAAGAAATGCATGATGTTACCTGGCAAATAGAAGCCTGAGAAAGGATCAGACTCTGCTCCAACAATGATATTGGAAATTTTGTCGATAACTCCTTGTTGAGCAAGATACTGACGCCCGTGGGGGGTGTGAGCCAGTGAGGTCACCATCTCTATGCAGGTAGCCCTGTAACAGACAGTTATTTTGGCTATTTCAGATGGGGTTTTGAAGCACTCTGATCAGGAAAAAACTGGGTTTCTACCCTTAAGGCAAAACGCCAACAAAATGGGAGAAATCTCATTGAGAAACTCACTGTGAACGTACCTGACCAGCATGTCATCTCCAGTCAGCTCTCCAATTAACTCTGATATTAGTCCACTGTTCACACAGTAATTTAGTGACTCTGCTGACACTGAAGAGATCTCAACAATTAACTAAAAGCAGAGGGAAACAAAAAAAAAAAACCAAAGGATGGATTTTAAAAACATTATAGTGATAACAATTCACAGTAATGGCCAAATAAGTCTTATAATGCTGACTATACATATATATTAAATACAGACTTTCATGACGTTTTCATAGTTAACTTAAACGTTTGCCTGAAACAAGTTCGTAAAGAGCTCCAAATTCACAGCACATGCATTTGATTTCTGCTGAAAGTCATCTTTCATTCAGATGTTATCCTCATTAAGCTCTAGACTGGCTAAATGCTATTACTTCTCCTTCGCCGTCCCTATCTAGACTGACACATTTGGCATCTCTCTTCTCAGTCTCTTCCCCCCTCCAGAAGTTTCAACAGCACTTCACAGCCGACGCTCAAGTGACTACAGCAGCTATTTTGCTTTCAGAGAAGCAAACATTTCACTGTGTCTTTATTAACTCTGTGTAGGCCTTCAATGCCCTGGGCAACAGAAGTTACAAAATAAAAGATGTAAACAGTACTTCACACCTCTGTAGCATAAACAGAGAAGAGCTATGTCATTATGTGAGGGCAAACACTGCTGCACTCTTCCTACTCCTTTCTAGTCTTGACAAAACACAGACACGAAGGAAAGTTTGTAAACCTGTGATGAATACTAATATAAAGCAAGTCATAAAAGGCAGAGAGCAATGCAGAGCCCAAGAGAACCACAGCACCATGTCAGTGAGATGCTGACCTTGATCACATCCCTACCTCGTACACTCGGTATCGAACAACATCATTTGTTGCCATGACATTTTTCAAGTCACTCAACAAGCTGCTCACAAACAAAGCCTCTAAACCATCTTGTGTCTGTGCTATTCTGGAGAGAGATTTGATGGCCTGGAAGCGAAAACAGGAGCTTAGTATTGAAAACAAACCCACAGGACAATCAGACTTAGTTTCAACGTTTTTAATTAACTTATTAAATCAAGTTCTACATCTAAAATGTTAGTTGTGATTCATTTTTCACTGAGGGGAGCCAGTTATGGCTACTGTGAGCAGAGGCTCTGGCATCAGTTTCAGAGCTAAGTTCACTTTGGCATCAACAGCTACTGGAAGATAACAACATTATGTACATTTTCTGTTACATCTAAGTAATTTCTAGGCTTGAGGCACCTACATGCTTATATCATCTTTCAAGCAACATAAGCTCTCTTCAAAGGACAGCAGATGTCATGATCTCAGACACAGCAGAAAAGGTGTCTTGTGTGGTGTCTACATCAGTTTGCAGAGGAAGAAAAAAAGCAAGCAGCACCTACCTCTTTAGCCACTGCTATTCTCTCCCCACCAATGCAATTTATTATTTGCCTTAATAGCTCAGGACTGTTGAGAACTTCTGTAACAGCATCTGAATTTTCAACAATCCTCCCGACCTGAACATGGATTAGATACAGGATTACAAAAAA